TGAAATGTTTTCAAATACTGGAAATAACACAATATAGAATGATATTCTTACAAATGGTATAACATAAACTATACTATTTCCTCTTGTCGATTGGTGAAGAAAGCACAAAGGGAGTTGATGAGATTGAGACTAATTAAAGAATGGTTTAAGATTTTCAACCCAAAATGACAGCAAGCTATGTTACAAAACTAATCCACAGCGTAGTTGTCAGCTTGATATTGCACAAAGTCATAACTTATGTCCAATTCATATGTTGTCTTATCTGAAAGACTTCATTTAATTGCGCACCGATAAAGTAGGTTTTTGAGAGACTTTTCCAGTGTTCTATTTTTTAAGAACATTGATGTTATATGTTTTTTTGCCGTTAAATCTATATCAAAATCTATTTATTTTACATATTTTTTTTAATTTGGTGTATTTTAACTAGATTTAATAGTTAAAAAAACATAAAATAAGGGAACACTAGAAAAACTCTCCCAATTATAATCGTGATATGAATAATTGGCATTGGACTTACCAGTATAATTTTTTTTTTATTCTTTTTGTTTGAATGGACTTGGTTTATTTTCACTTAATGTATGTTATGCAAGTGTAACAAATTAGTAGAGAAGCCAAATATAAATGAGGGGGGATACGTACTCATATTTTTGAAATTTGTTTATTATTCTTAATATTTTTGTAAAATTTCAATTGTATTCCTATTTTATAAAAAATATATATAATTATATAGAACTATGTCCTCATTTACTGAATAATTATTTAATAAATTTTTTCAAGTGCATAAATTATTTGTAACTTTTTTCACAGTGCCCTTGAAAAAATTTTATGGTTTCGTCACTAGATAGGATAAGAAGATATGATATGAGCTGCCAATACGGAATATTAATACCAAAATAGTCAATTATTTTACCCATCTCCATGATTCTCTATCCTTCTGTACCTTTAAAAAAAATTCATTAGTGAAAGTTGTGGGGTCAATAATAGGAAACATTTTTTATAACAATAATAGGAAACATTAATTGCTCCTAAATGGTGTGTAGGCTGCAGAAAATTAACACCACAATAGTCAATTCTGGCATTTTCTGTAAGAGAATTCTGTCACACACCCTTTCTTTAACCAAGTGTTTGGGTAATAGTTTAATGTAAAAAAAAAAAAAAAGGGTATAAATTCCGTGGTTCTTAAGAAAGAGACAAAAAAATGATGTTTATAATCTCATAAAAGGGGAAAAGATTTTGTAGAAACCATGAATGAGGACAAATAGAATCTCTATTATAAAACAAAGGAGACCAAATCTTACATGCTTCATGCTTTCTAGGGAGTTTGACTGCTTCCTTTTCATTTCCTTTTAGGCAATATACTACTATATTATATAGTTGTTCTTGTTCTGCAATTTTTTTTTATTTCAAATTAAATATAACAGTTGGCATGTGCAAGCTCAGAGATGGTTGCTGGTACTAGAACTGCAACATCTAACCAAAAAGCTTATTAATTAGACTTGTTCAAAATTCCATACACATCACAATCTCTGTGCATGCGTAAGCTGCATACGCTACATATCTGAAAAAATTTAAAAAGACTATTAATGCTCTTTTTACCGCTCTCTTATCACTTTTTATATTTACTCTTTAAATAATAATATATGATCATATAACAAATAACAAAAAAAAGTAACAAAACGAGTGATATTAACATTTCTTATATTGATATTTACTTGAAGGGTATTTTTTAATAGCTTGAGAAGAATGGTATTCTAAATTATTATCGGCAATGATGTAGTCACTAAAACTAGGATTATACAATAATCAAATAGATGTGACATTTTACGGATTTGAGTTTTCAATTCGAGTTGAGATGTAACATTTTTTGAGAATTTTTCACTGTAGCAGAAAAAGTTAGATGTGACATTTTTTGATAACTTTTTACTGTAAAAACTTAAAATTGAAAACTTAAATCGATGAAATAAACGATGCCTTAATCTGTCATAGACTCATAATTCTCGTGTTGTATTAGGAGTTTGTAGAGCTGTCGTTTTTTCTTTTAAGAGTGGATGAAACTTACATTTTCTTTTTCCCCTCTGAAATTTCACAACGATAAGTGAGCGCAACTATAGATTGTAGTTATACCTTTGTACTTCTTCATTTGATTACAGTGAAATGTTACAATAGACGTAATTAAGCTATATATATATTAAGTTGTGGAGTCTAGTTATTACCTCGACACAAAGACAACATGCAGATTGGTCACCTTGGAGGGTGGGATTGCCAAGCAAAATTTCATCAAGGGTCCTTAGAGATTTCATATTTGTAAAATTGAATATTGCCGCAGTTTTTTTTCTCTATATTTAGAATAAATCACTGAAATACAAATTTTGCGTGTAATTTGTTTATTTTTTATTATTTTTTAATAATAATTATTCAAGTTATTACATCTTAGTTGAGTAGTCGATAAACTATAATGCATAAATAGTAGTTGAGAAGACTCGATAGAGAACTAATACGACTAGGCATCGAGGAGTGAGAGATCTAGATAAGAGCCAAGGAGATCAACATTATCCCGAGAAGTTAGGAAGAGTTTAATGATCTACATTCAAACTCAAATAAGGATCGTGAGAAGATAAGATCCGTGAACCGTCAAAGATATGGATTATCTCCTTAAATTACAGTTTAGAATTCAAATTATGTAAAGCAGAGTCTATAAATAAAGGCTAAATCTCCTCATTTATTTTTTATGCATAATTAGTGAAAATTAGTGCACCGAAAGAGAATACAAACATTACTCCAGCTGAATCTCTATAAATTTTGTGCCCTTAAAATTCTTTTGCTTTGAATATCGTTTTTGCATTTATTATTCATCGTTTTGCCAGCGAATATTTCCTGGAGTGAGTTAATTGTGAGTCGACGAAAACACAAGTCTTGCATAATCATCCCTAAAAAAAATAAAAAAAAATAAAAAAAAAAAAGTCATGTATAATTATGCGACAATCTTGGCATGCTATATAGCATGTCCACGGGGGACTTCAATAGTTCAATGGTCATAAAAACTACTCCTCAATCTAATAAGAGAGATGCCTGTTGATTGTTGATTCGGAAATATACTAGCTGTATAAGATAATTAACGGTATTTTTATATATAAAAAAAAAATTGTTAATCATAAGCACTAATTGCACTTTGTCAAATGTTGTTAATTAGTCAGCCCTATGATATTGATCAGAAGCTTCTTTAATTTTCCCTATTCGATCCTTATAGTGTAAAATATGTCAATTTTCATAGTCAACGCTACTTTATTTTAATTTCATTCATGCCCTTCATTTGAGAAAATGTCAAACAAAGCGAGTAGAACTCGACTACTCGTAGTGTCATTTTCAAAGCATTCGAACACACCTTACCCATTATTAATCAGAGTCTGATATTGATGACCAAAGAGGCAAATATATGATAATAATATAAATCTCATTTGGGAATCTTTATAAATTATCTTTGATAGGTGCATATTGTGGGGGGATAAAATGATTGATTTTAAAATTATTAAGGATAACTAACTTCCAATTTAACGATAAGAAGTCAATTTGTGTTACAATTAAAATCAATACTTTATTTTATTGTTCTATAAATCAGTAAAGGGTTAATAAAGTCTTTACCACCATGCATGCTCTACAATAGTATTTTCTTGAAATGATGTAGAAGTAAATCGAATTTTCTTCTAAAACTTACGCATTTTTTTAGAAACAGATATGAGAAAAGAGTTCAGATTGGTCGTCTTTATTTTTCTGACTTATCTTTTTAATCTCCACTATTCATTTGCAATATTATCTAAATTTAACAATTAGACTATATGTTAAATAACTAAATGCAAAAATGCTCCAACAAATCAGGAGGTATCAAAATTTAATAGAAGAATAACTAACAAAGCAGGACACTAGATATTGACTCATGATAGGGGAAAAGAAAGAGGTATCCATCAAGCCAATAGTCATTTGATAGAGAAAAAAGAAAAAAAAAAAAACTTATTTTTAAGCGCATGTTTGGTTTAACAATTTAAATTGTAGTGAATTAAATTGTGATTCAAACTGATATTTAAATATATAAATAAATTATAATTTAAATTAAAAATGTAATCAAAACTATATTTAAATAAAACTTGAAAACTGTCATTAAAATTTTATAATAAGTTTTATAATTATGAATACATTAAAGTTTTATAAGTTTTATAACAATTAGACTATATGTCATTTAAATATAAATTTATTCATTTTTTTATTATGAATATATTAAAAAATCATTCTAATCAAAATTAACATAAAAAAATTATAACATTTTTAAATTTAAAATAAAAAAAATAAAATCAAAATTATTTTCACTCTAAAAACTTAGATTACATACAAAAATGAAAATGAAACAGAAAAAGGAAAGAAAATCATTTCGCTCAAATATGGCTGACAGAGGGATAGAGTTAACCAAACGAGTTGGCGAGTTGTAAGTTCTGACTGGTCAATGACTCCATTTGACAATTTCGATCGAAACAATAAAAACAAAAGAAAAGTTAAATCGAATTAAAAAAAAAAAAAAAGAGAGCGAGAATTCTAGTTTTGGCCTTTAATCTATGTTTCTTTTATCTTATTTTGGCCCCAAGCTTTGGAATGTTACAAATTACATCCCTAAATGATACTCTTTGTCTCATGTTTGACCCTTTATGCAATCAATCATATGAATATATATATATATATTATTTTACTTCTAATTTTTTAATTTTAAATTTATTCATGCCTAATTTGTTTAAAGTACCCTTAATTAACCAAGCGTACAAGTGCGACACAGTGGATTTCATCGAGTTTTTAACAATTTTTGTGACAAGAACAAAACGTGGAACAAACAAATGAGCATAATTCAGGGGAGCAATTTGTAATATTTAGAGGTTTGGGGACCAAAGTAGGACAAAGAACATAGTTCAGGAGCCAAAATGAAACCAACCCAAAAAACAACGTAAGCAAAATCCTCATCTTCTAGATATCCCAAGGTAATAAAAGAGTAGCAAAAAGCTGTGTCCGCCGCTGTCCGAAGAGTCCTCTCTGACTGTCCAACAAACCCACCCCCCCAAAATCCAATCCTTCTGTTTCTCAGTCAATCGAATTCATACTCTCTCTCTCTCTCTATCTCTCTCTCTCATACTCTTCGTCAAAATTTCATCTCTTTCCAACACCCCACAAAACCCAATTCCTTCTCTCTCTCTCTCTCTCTCTCTCTCTCTAAAACCTCGCCATTGACTTGAACCAACAACAAGAAGAAGTAACAATCTCAAGCTTTTCACTTCAAAGACAGAAAACCCATGCTTCTACAACCCAGAAAATCACATTCACTTTAAAGAATCTTTCTTTACTCTGTAAAAACTGTAATAGATTATGGGTGGAAATGGGAAACACAGGTGGAAGATTTCATTCCATCGTCCTTCTTCTTCTTCGTCAAGCTCAAAGATGGAAGCCAATCACCATAACCACCACAAGCAACAAGAAGAACCTCCCAAGGACTTCCTCTGCCCAATTTACGGAGCTTTAATGGCGGACCCCGTCGTCGTCTCCTCTGGCCAGACCTTCGAGCGACTCTCCGTCCAGCTCTGCAGAAATTTAGGCTTCTCTCCCAAGCTCGACGACGGCTCAATTCCCGATTTCTCCGCCATCATCCCGAACAAAGCCATCAAATCGGCGATCCTCCATTGGTGCGACTCCTCCGGTGTGGTGCACCCGCGTGTACCGGATCCCGCCACCGTCGAGAAGCTTGTGAGGGCGTTAATGGCGGAAGAGGAAGTTTATCCTTCTCCTCCTCCTTTTTCGTCGCCGCAGCTTAGGGTTTCGGAGCGGGAGCTCATCCGCGGCGTGGCGGAGAATCCGCCGGTGACATTCTCCCACGCCGCCACCGAGCTCGGTCCGCGAGTGAACCATTTCTACTCGAGCTCGTCGGAGGAGTCTGTGGTCATCACCGCAGATAATCCCGGCACTCCTCTCCCCTTCGCGACGCGGCCGCTCTGTTATTCCTCTTCGTCTTCCTCCGAAATCACGGAAAGCGAAACCCTAGCGTCCTCGATCCCCAATTCAGCTCCGGCGTCGGAGGAGGAGGACCACTTGGTGAGGAATCTGAAGAGCGTCGACGTCGTTGACCAAGAGGAGGGCGTACTTTCTCTCCGCAAGTTGACCAGGACGAGAGAGGAACTTAGGGTTTTGCTCTGCACCGCTAGGGTTCTGTTAGCCCTAAAGCCTCTGATAAGCTCGAGGTACGCCGTCGTCCAGACGAACGCCATAGCTTCCTTGGTCAACCTCTCGCTGGAGAAGCCGAACAAGGTGACGATCGTGCGATCGGGATTCGTTCCCTACCTGATCGACGTTCTGAAATCGGGATCCATCGAGGCTCAGGAGCACGTCGCCGGCGCGATCTTCAGCTTGGCGCTGGAAGACGACAACAAGATGGCGATCGGAGTCCTCGGCGCGTTGCCGCCATTGATGCACGCGCTCGTCCGATCGGAGAGCGAGCGGACTCGGCACGACTCGGCGCTGGCTCTCTACCACCTGACGCTGGTCCAGAGCAACCGAGCCAAGCTGGTGAAGCTCAACGCGGTGCCGACGCTGCTAGCCCTAGCACAGACGGGGTCGTCGGCGAGCAGAGTTCTGCTTGTGCTCTGCAACCTGGCGGCGTGCCCGGAGGGGAGGTCGGCGATGCTGGACGGGAACGCTGTGGAGTGCTTAGTGGGGATGCTGAGGAGGAACGAGTTGGACTCGGAGGCGACTCGGGAGAACTGCGTGGCGGCGCTGTTCGCCCTCAGCCATGGGAGCATGAGGTTCAGAGGGCTGGCGAGGGAGGCGAGGGCGGTGGAGGTGCTCAGGGAGATCGAGGAGAGAGGGAGCGAGAGGGCGAGGGAGAAGGCGAAGAGAATGTTGCAGATGATGAGAGGGAGAGACGACGGAGAAGACGAGGAAGGCGACTGGGAAAAGGCTCTCCGTTCTGGCGGCGCCGGCGGTGTTGGGAGGAACTTGCACGGTCCAAACTCAACTACTTTTTGATTTTGATTTTGTTTAATGGGTCTCCTTTTTTTTCCTTATTATTATTAATGGTTTTTTATTTTTATTTTTTTAAATCTTTGGATTTATAGATTGATTGTAAATTATATAATGTTTGTGTCAAAAGAAAAATGTGTAATATTTGTTGGTGTGAGGGAGAAACATGAACAATTTTTCCCCAAAGTTTTTTTTTTTGGGTCTTTTTTCTTGATCGGGTTTTGGTTAATACAAGTAATTTAGAATGTAAATTACTTTTGATTCAAGAAAAAGGAAACAAAAACAAAAACAAAAAAATGTAATGTAGTTTTTATTGTTGAGGAAAAAGAAACGAGAAAAGGTGTAATTTTTATTGGTGTTGGTTGCCGGGGATTTTTGGGTAGATATTGGTGCAACTTCCTTTTGTCAGCAATGCTTAAAGTGTTGTATAGAAATTGCATTTGATGTCCTCTTCGTTTCTACTTGTGAGTCTTTCTGTACACAAAATGTTGAATGCATTGTGCATAAGCTTTTACTTGACAATTGACATAAACTAAGAAGAATGTTTTGAGAGAAATCTTGACAAATATCTCTAAAAGCGTTTATTTTTTTTTATTTTTAATTAATATTTTTTTAGTTAAATAATTATATTAACAAGAGGGTATTAATAAAAATTAAGAAATAAATTTTAAAGGAAGTTCATTAATTTTCTCTTTTTTTTTTTTTTTGAGGGTTAAAAAACTAATTCGACTTTGTGAAGTTGAGGTCCCAGGAGCCTACTCGTATTTCTTCAAGAAACATAAGATTGTGTCTTAAAATGTGGTATCACATATGTACAGCTGGTGAAGTCTTGTAGAACTACTAGTTTATGTGGGAGTAGCTCATGAATGTGTATGATGAAAGTGAGTCTAAAAGTAGTTTGTTGGGAATCCATTTGTTTAGGGATATTATTGGTAGGGCATGCCATGCATAAGTGACAAGTATACTTTTCCCCTTTCGTGTTTGTTCTTTTCTTTTTCTTCGTGTAAAAGGTTTTGGCACGCACGCTACTTTTCTGTTGTTGGCTATAATCTATCATTTCGCCGATTCGAGTTTTGTTACAGTAAAAAGCTCTAAAAAATAATTACATTTATCTTTTTTATTACAGTAAAAATCTCTCACACAACATCACATTTCAACTCAAATTAGCGAACCGGATTAGTAGATAATGAAATAAAGCTCACAGCTTTGGAGTGTTACTGGAATGGTGGTGAAGGATGGATTAGTTTAATCCTACCTTCTTTCCCTCAGGGGAAAAAAAAGGGATGTTATAGGCCTCCTAAATTGGAATAGTAAGCTAAAGCAAAACGGAAGAGGAAACAAAAGTGTAATTCCACAAAAAGAAAAAGGGACATGCAAAAATGATTCTTTTTTAAATATTTTTTTTAGTAAATAATCATGGCTTTAGACGTGGCTTTACACATTCAATAAAAGTGGACGTTTAGTTCATAAATTTAAAATTATTTTTAATATACGTGTGTTTTTTTAAGAGAAAACACTGTAATGAGTCACGAATTATAATTCGAACCATGACACGAATCCTTATAGAGTTTTTAACACAATTATCCTCTAAACTTGTCGTGGTTTAGTAAATTATCACATAAATTTTTAATTTTGACAAACAATGCCCGAACTTATAAAATTGTGTATCTCATTTTACTTAATTTGCTTAACTTATTTAATAGATGGAATTGAAAGATTTGTGTTACATTTAAATTGGGATGCAATTTTTTTGTCAAACGATTCAATTTTCACCGATTCGAGTTTTGCTGCAGTAAAAAGCTCTCAGAAACAGTCACATCTAACTTTTTTTGTTACAATAAAAAACTCTCACATAAAGTTACATCTTAACTCGAATCAACAAACTAAACGTGCCCTTAAAATCCATAATTAGTAAACACGCCCATAGTAATTGTAGGCCCTTTTTATTTCACCGATTCGAATTTAGAATTCGAGTTTTGCTACAGTAAAAAGTGTTGGTTACCGAATCGAATTCGGATGCGGAAGCGTGGGGGATGGCAGATCAAGTATAACAAAATTTTTTATAAAACCTTTGAGATACTCTATAGATTATATTAATTTATGCACGAATAAATTAATCCCATTAATTTATTTATTAAGAACTCAATTAGGAATAATACCTAGCGGCCGATTAGGATGATAACTTGAGTTCTTTGACCTCGAACAATTCTTGCTCCAAAGCCTTGTGTTTAGAAAACCAATGTCTTTCTCGTCAATTCCTAGAATCCGCGAAAACGTGTGTGTGGGCACACCTGAGACAAAACGGATTAAAATAAACACTCGAATTTCCACAAACACCAACGCATGCACGATGTGAAATTTTTAGAGAAAATTTTTTCCTTCCCACAATAAGAGAATTTCGGCCACAATAAAATATTAGGTCAAAAAATTGTTCAAAAATTGTGTCTCACAATTTTCTATCATTCTCTTATTTATAGAGTAGAAGTCAAACTTTTAGAATGAATTCAATCTCTATCTCCAAGATAAAGCTTGTTAATTATCTCCTATTTGAATTTGAAACAAAATCTCCTCTTCTCTTTTATCTATTATGGCCGGCCATAGATAATGGATTTTATCCCTGTGTAGGCGCCAATATCAGATAGGAAAGGAAGAGAAAATCATCATTTATCCTGCAGTCCAATTTTGACTCAAATTCAAATTTCAATTTAAGTCAAACTTAAATTAATTTGAATTCTAAATTGAACAACTTATCAAATAAGTTTAAATAGATAAAACTAGATGTGTTCAAATTCAAATTTAAATAATAATATTATTTAAATAATAATTAATTCTCAATTAATTATTTTCGAGTGTTTAATTTTTAGAATTTCATAATTCTAAAATTTCCATTTTTCCCTTTGTGTCTCATAGAATTACTAGGACGACGCGTGGAATAATGGACCTATAATCCCGAGCTCTAATAAAATTAATAATTAATTAAACACTTTAATTAATTAATAAATTCTATTAATTCCAATAGTTACTTCACTATAAACTTGGAATTGCACTATCGAAATTATAAACATAAATTACTTCTAAACTGTGAAGTGTCCATTTGATATAGTCACTACATATAGATCAATCCTCCATAAATAATTCATGATTAGAGCTAGGTGAAATCCGTTAATGTAACGACCGGGAAAATTTCAGGTCTAACCTGGACAGTTCGGCATTTTGACCATAAATTCTTCCGGAACGAAAAGCAGTAGAATTTTTAGTTTGATCAAGGAAATGCTATGTAGAAACTTTATGTACGGGGTAAAATCTCCCGAAAGTGTAAGGTTATAATACGAATATTTATACAAAGAAAATTCGTAAATATCAGTAATGAATAGTGAAATATCAATTAAAAATTAAAAATTTTAATAGGTATATTTTAGTTATGAAAAAACTGAAATATTTGGTTTGTGACCAAATGACCAGTTAGAAAAAGAGTAGAAATATTAGAAGTAAGGAAAATAGCAAAAGTTCCTGAAACAGAATTTTTCTGAGTCAGTTAAAATGGGAAACTGCTAAAAAAATGAGTACCGCAAGGGTACGCATTTTGGGCAATTCTGAATCAAAAGAATGCAAATTTCAAAAAAAGAAATTGACTAAGGAGATACCCAAGAGAATTGGGTTGAAGATGAGAAGTTTGACCCAGGGTGCTCGACAGTTCAGAAAAGCAGTATAGAACCTGTATTGGTTGTGGAATTATCAGTACCGAAAAGAGACTCGTTTCGAGAAACGGAAAGTTTAGTCTCGACAAGAAAAATGTGAGGAACATGGAATCACTTAAATTAAGTGTTAAACTTAATTAGAATTAGTAAACTTTAATTATAGAAATTAAAGTAATTATTTTAATCTAGAAAGTAATATTATATATTATTAGAAATACTATTATAATATTCATTACATTCTAAAAAAGCCCCACGGAGACATTACAAGCCAAATGTGTCTTCTTTTCCGAAGTGTGGCCGAGAGAAAAGAAAAATGAGAGAAAAGAGAGAAAACAAGGGGAAATCCAAGGAATCAACCGATTTCAGCAGAATTTCTTCGTTCAGTCCGATAGAAACGCAACTCGAGGCATTCTAGCGGAAAATCTCAACTTTTTGAGGTAAGATTTCAGATTTTTCATGAGAAACTGCTTGCTTTGTCGTTTTGATGAATAGTAACTCATCTCGAAAAAAATCCGTAAAACTGAAAAATGAAACGGAGGTTTTGTCGGGGACTAGGATAGGAGTTCAACGTGTAATTATGGAAACGATTGAACAAAAATTTTTAGATTAACACTAAAAATCCGAATGACTCTAGAAAATGAAGAACATATGTCTTTGTTCAATTTTATGTTAGAAATTGTGTTCAAGAATATGAATCTTGACTCCAGGTACCGAAATCGGAATTAAAACGAGTTATTGAAAACTCGAGAAATGAGAAAAACAAGGTGAAACTCTGCCGAAATTTAGTTTGAGTAATTTGAACTAAAACTGAATTTCAAGAGGAATATGGGATTAAAATGTGAAAAGAAAGGTGTTTCGATAATCGGTGATGGTTAGAAAACTGAACACAATAAGAATTCACAGTTTTGGACCGAAACTGATAATTAGGCCCATGACTGAGTAACTTGCACGGTTTTAGTGCAAATCTTTGAGATAGGAAATGGTTTGAGGTTGAATACCAAACATAAGGATTGTAGACATTTCTGAAGTAAATTTCAATGTAATTATTGATCTTAGAGTCTAAATCTAACGATCAAAAAATTTATGCAATAGGGCCGATTAACGGTTGAAGTCGGAAAGTGTCAAGGGAGACAAATGACGCGTTGTTAGTGAAGCTTCGGTAAGTACAATAGTTTTTCTATGGCTATATCACGAACAAGCTTACTTTTCTATGTTGAAAAATTGTGCATATAGTAGAATTTTGAATGTTAGATACAATGTGAATGTTAGATACTATGTTAGGTATGTATCTACAAGACTTATGTAATCGTAGAACTTTATTCTATAAAAAAGTATGTATTGATTTTAAGTTAAGATCAAACTAAGAGAAATGAAAGGTTAAACTTTAACGAAAAGTTAATCTCATGATAAATTGCTTTATAATGCACAAATTCATAAGATTTAACTAAAGTTACCGTTTCAATGAGAAAATTGATAAACAGTAAGAGACTAAACGTCCTGTTTGTACTGGCCTTCGAAGGAAAGGTCATTATGAGACTATGAAAGATATGAAACCGTGACTGAGTTGGATTGGTTAGCTACCCCACTCCTCACTGGTTATGCGCGCTATGGTACAACAGGACATGGCCCATAAGAAGTAAAAGACATGAAAATGAAAAACAAAAACCGTTCCATATGAAGTTACGGTATCTGTAAAGAAGAATGAAAAGAATGAGAAACAGAAAATGAAAGTCGTTCAGAACGTGATAATACGATGTGAACGACTAAAATGAGAAAGCAGAACAAAGAATGTAATGAAAGAAGAAGAACATAAGCCATACACATTTTAGTAGCACATAATGTATTATGATATATGACATGAATGCATATATGGGTATGCATAATTATTGCATATGTTATGACCTATTGATACTTGCTGAGCGAAAGCTCATTAAGTTTGTTCGTGTTGTAGGAAGCTCGGGTAAGGCACCGGCTCCCTGAAACTTGTTACTGGGCATGCAGAGAGGATGTAGCAGCGGAATGTGGGCAAGTGGGTTGTGGATGCATCACGTGTTTTGGAAATGCTGCCAAACATTATATGTAAAATAAAATAGTGTTTTATGTATTTTGATGACTCATGTAACAGAATGCCGTCATGCTACAGCATTTTAGGTATGACTAATATAACAGAATGTTGTGAGAATGCTACAACATTTTGAGAATGATTAATGTACAGAATGCTGTTAGAATGCTACAACATTTTACGAATAGTTGAAAATAGAAGGCTAGCTAAATGCTACAACATTTAGACGTACATGGTAAGAATGGAAAATAAAAAATTGGCCTGAATTTTAAGAGGTTATAATTAGTAAGTGTTAGAGGTTAAGTAATGTTAAGTATGAGTATAGGATGATGATCAGAGGTTAGGGTCGTCACAGTTAACCTCTCAAATTACATCTTTATCCTTAAGTACCATTGATTCTCTAATAGACAGTGATTCATAAAACACATTTATGAATCGGAGCTCCTACTGGTCCAAGTACTGAATCAACCCTCAAGAGAATTATTTATCTACTTCTATCTCAAAAAGGAATAGATTCCATCTCGTATAATAACATTCCTGGCTACCTACTTCATCATGTCTCTAAAATACAAGAAATAGGATTCAGGATCTCAGAATCCATACCGAGTAAATAAAAAGACACAAATCCATAAATATGAGTATGTTAAGAACTCAAGATTAAGATCATTTTATATATGACCATCAATAGACTCAATAGAATTTCTATACTTAATGAAAATTATTAAAAATTCATATTGTGTCTGTGTCCTTGTTCCACATAATCTCATTATGTGAAATACACTCGTTCAATATCTCACCATATTAACAATGTGGATAACACCGTTCCATTCTAGATGGGAATGACATGTATTAATAATGTTTTAATTAAAGATTCTGAACTTTAATTAAATTCATTATGAACACCGTTTTTTATTATTATCCTTAAATATTATCTTCTCGCATATAACACTTATATACAACGTTTAAGGTCACATAAATAATCATAAAATTTTCATTTGACATTCATAAAATATTTATAAATATATGCACATAAAATAATGAATAAACTATTTTATTAAATAAATAATAAATATCCTATTACATTTCATACTTTTAGGACACCATTTCCAATAAAAAGCTATCAGAAACAGTCACATTTAACTTTTTTACTACAATAAAAAGTTCTCACATAAAATTACATCTCAACTCGAATTAAAAAATCGAATTAGTGAATTAAACGGGCCCGTAATATATTAGAATATTGGATATGCCTTTTTGCTACCTTTTCTTTGCATGTTAAGCCTTCAAAAAAGGTGTTTTAACATTTGCTCGCTCACAACCCACAAGTTACTTTGATTTGGGGGTAAAAGAAACTTCAAAAGTAATTTAGTTAAAAGGGTAAATATTTTTTTGGAGAATTTTTATCATAGGGTATGAAAAATTACCGTGTGGATAGAGCAGTTTTTCAGAGTCATATCATTTTCATTACGTTCGTTTTAGTACAAGATTTTTTTTTCTCATCTAAGTAAACATTTCGCGTAAATAAAGACATCACTGTCATTTCAATTGAAATGACATGTCACAACAATGCGTATTTGTGTTCAGGGCTCGTTTATTTTCATATATATAAACTCAAATAATTAATTTTATTATAATAATTTTCTCTCAAAATAAAATTTTATTATATTAATTTTGTTACAATATTTTCCTTTCAAAATAAAATTTTATTATATTAATTTTGTTACAATATTTTCCTCTCAAAATAAAATTTATATTTTAAACGTCATCATGTTTTGAATACAGTGTTTACCTCGAAAGGTTTACATCCTTTTTGTGAATAGCCGACGTGTCGTCCATCATGAAACGCTAAGTCGCCACTGTCATTCCACAAAACGACTTGTCATTTTTACACCAAAATGTTTGCTGCCTCGTATCTAAAACAAGTCGTTCACAATATCACGATGTCGTTCATTCACCAATAGAAACGGCATTCAAAAGAATGTTGTCGTTTGAAAGAAAGGAGCAAACAAGAAGGAAGAAAATACCATGCTTGCTTTCTTGCTTATCAAATCGGATCCTAGGCCACGGTCGAAAAAAATGCAGAAACTCCGGAAAAGGAAACAATCCGAGCTTCAACCACACAACCAAGCACATTTCTTGTCCAACAAGAAATCCTCAGCCAAACGGGCCCCACCCATCTCCGGCCTAAGCGAGGTGGCCAAAGATCCGTACCCAACTCATCAATGGCCAACGCCGGACCAATGCCGAGCCGTACGAGACGACCTCTTGGCGCTTCACGGCTTCCCTCAAGAGTTCGCCAAGTACCGCCGCCAAAAACCCACCACCGACAACGGAGAAGAGTCGGAATCGAAGGAAAGTGTTTTGGACGGTTTGGTCATGACTGTGCTTTCGCAGAACACCACGGAGGCCAATTCTCAGAGGGCTTTTGCTTCTCTCAAGTCTGCTTTTCCCACTTGGGAACAGGTATGTCTCAAAAAAATCTTTTTTTTTTTGATTTATTTGATAAAATTTGAAGCTTTGGAATAGATTTTGAGTGATTTTTGGACTTCTAATTTTAGGGGAGATTTTTTTTTTTTTGGTTGGTAATTAGGGTAATCAATATGTCGTTCCAAATGATCTATTTCATGGGTTTTGCTCTCTCTGTGTCCAATAGCAAAACACAAAGAAAAAAAAAAAGAAAATTTTCTAGAATCGACTCCTTAAAATTAATGTGAAATCAATAATTATTCCTTTTATTAGTGTTAGTGTTGTTTTTGGCTAAGTGATTATTTATTATTATTTCTTTTGGGTTGAATTTTGATGATGTGGGAGGTGACTTATAATTCCCAAATCGTTTGCAGGTTCTAAATGCTGATTCAAAGTGTATAGAGGATGCTATAAGATGTGGAGGTTTAGCCCCAAAAAAAGCTTCATGTATTAAGAACACACTAAGGAGCTTGCTCGAGAGAAAAGGCAAGTTATGCTTGGAATACTTGCTAGATTTCTCAGTTGATGAAGTCAAGGCTGAACTTTCTTGTTTCAAAGGAATTGGCCCCAAAACGGTAATCTATCTTTCTTGCAATTATCTTTTTTTATGTGTTTTCTGTTATCTGTAATCTTATACCAATTAGCACATAGAATGACAGAAACAACAATGTTTTCTTGGTTGGTTCAAGTGTCTCTCAAATTCTTTCATTTTGTGGTTGTTGTTTTGTCAATTCCTTTATTGGGTTTGCCTTGTTAAAAAATGGTTATTTCCACATCATACAAGGGATTTTGACATGGGGTTTTTGTAAATTATGTAACTGAGAATTTGAAGTGGATGACAGGTAGCTTGTGTTTTGATGTTCCACCTTCAACAAGATGACTTCCCAGTAGACACACATGTAAGTTCATAATTTATTGATTTAACTGCTTTTTACATTATGCATTCTTTTTAATGCGTAAACTGATGTTAAGCAGGTATTTGAGATTGCAAAAGCTCTTGGTTGGTTACCAGCTGGGGCTGACAGGAATAAGGCATACCTTCATCTCAACCAACGTATCCCAAATGAACTCAAATTTGATCTGAATTGTCTCCTATACACGCATGGTAAAATGTGCCGCAAATGCATCAAGAAAGGGGGTAGCCAGATAAAGAAGGGTTCAAGTGATGACTCCTGTCCTTTATTACATTATTGCAAAAGTAATTAGACCGTGTTTGGTAAGAGGGAAAGAATATAGGAAGAGAGGAAAATGGATACGAAAGGGGGTACCTTTTTCGTATTGTGTTTGGTATCGTCTCATCAAACCAGTTCGTATTGGGGGAGATTAAAACTAGATCCTTTGAATCCATTCGCACCTCTTTTCCTTCAACCAAACAGCCATAGGTCTTAAAAACCTTCCTCCCACATCCCTCTTTCCAGTTTTTCCTCCTACCAAACAAGCTCTTAGTTTGGAACTGTAAATATTTGTTAAAGGTTTTTATTTATATATTTAGGTTTTCCTTTATTCTGCTATGCATTTTCTCCCCCGTTAAGCTGTAAGCAATTTTCCTTTTTGGGGTGAGGCGGGTATTGATGATTAGTAGGACTGGGAGAAAAACTTGTGGACCACTTGTTGTAAGGGAACCGAAGCAGGCTACTATGAGACAAAAGATTTTCTTTCTAAAGAGATTCTATTAGGACTATTATATGTCCAAGGTCCAATATTCAAAAAAGTTTAAGAGGTTTTTCTTGATCACTCATGGGATCCGGGCGGTCCAAGAGGGACCATCACGGCTCCTCTCTTCTCGAGAATCTATACATGGACAGCTATCTTTCGAGCACAAGTTTAGGTTTGGCCTCAATGGGAAATAAATAGAAAAATGAAAATTAAGTGATTTTAGATTTTAATCCTTACCAACTCGATCTTGTTGCTCTGGGCAGCAATCATATAATTTGCTCTAATGTCACACAATCAATGTTGATTTTCATAGCCCTTCACTAGCATCCCTCTTGATTTTTTTTTTGTTGTTGTGTGGGTGAAAGCAAATCACAAGAATCTAATAATACAATAAATTTTGTGTTGTGAGATGTGTTGAAGGCTTTGTGCATGTTTGGTCAGGTGTTTTGAGAAGTAAAAAATGAAAATGAAACGAAAGGACGTTTATTTAACAAATATTTTGAAAATAAAAATGAAAACAGTAAGAATAGTTTTTGTGAATGAATTAGAAAACAGTTAAAAGTTATTTTCACTTTTTTGTTTTTATTTTTATGTATTTATCAATAATATTATAATATATTAATTAATAAACACGATTTCACTTTTTTATTATATTCAAAACTAATATCTTAATAACTAACCAAACGTAATTTTAGAATCGGTCTCAAAATAATTCTCAATTATTCTCATTTTTATTTTTTTATTAAAAGTAAAATCATTTTTAAACTAATTTTAAATGCACCCTTTGATGTTTGGTTGTACCTCAAAAGTAAATTAACCGAAAAACGCATGAACTTCTTACCCAATTCAATCATGTTGATTACAAATTAGTTTATCTGAAAAATCCACTTGTGGCGTTAGATATTGAATCTTTTTATGACTTTTAATTAGTAAAAGATATATATGCTTACTTCATGGTCCATTTCCATTACTATACTCTTTTATTTTAGCATTTACACCTCCCCAACTTTAAGAAAAAACAGTGTGTGCATTTTATTGTTGCAAAATGCAGGAGTTGATATTTAAGTAATTGTCACAAAGATAAACAACTCATAGGAACAACAATAAACAACTCGCTCGCACCCCATAACTTTTGGACTTTTGGTGTTACATTTCAATGTTCCTAATATAGTAACTCTTAATTATTCCACCATAATTAGGACTAAATTACAAAATAGGAAAATAACTCTTTTGAAGGCTAAATGATAGAATTTCGTCGAAAAATGTTGTACATCATAACATTGACGAAACGATAAGTCTTGATCATTGGCCAGCTTTCACCTCCCAAATCCAAGATCGTCAACAAGACTTTTAAAAACGATAAATTACCTTGTTTGATCTTTCGGATGATCCCACTGAGCTTGTAACCATTTAAAAGTCATTTGAGTGTCTAGTGATGAAAGTGAATTCTTGTGATATATTATTCATGTTAATAAATATTAGATTATTTCTCTACCTTATACTATTTATGTAATTCATACAGATACAATTGTGTAAATAAAAAAAAGAGATGTAATTAGATTGTATGTTTGAATTGCGTTTATATACAAATACAATTACAAAAATAAAGAACATGGTTGTATAGTTGTATTGTGTTAATAATACATTACGGAAACAAATCTAATTATTATAAAACTAACAAAATCTAAAGTTGTATAGTTGTATTGTGTTAATAATACATTACGGAAACAAATCTAATCATTATAAAACAAACAAAATCTACTGTTTATTTATTTTTAATTTTTGTGGTATTCATATCTAAATTATTGTTAAAATTTTTGTGGTATTAATATCCAAATTCTCATTGTGGTTAACATATTTAGATTTTTAAATTTTTGTGGAATTCATATCCAAATTCTTGTTAAAATTTTTGTGGTATTAAATCCAAATTCTTATTGTGGTTAACATATTTAGATTTTTAATTGTTGCTCGCAGCTTCAAAACTGATGTCATTTAAACTAAAAAACATTACAATCTTGATTCAAGAACTTGTCAATGGAACTCAAGAACTTATTCATAGCCTACTAATTGTGAAGTTTTATGCTTGATCAATGTGGGAGTTTTGACACACCAAATTAAAGCAGGTTGATGCTTTGTTTGTGTCAAATATGTACCAAATAACTATGTAAATTAACTTAGAAGTGCTAAATATTTAGTCCTAAGTTCACCTCATGGATATTAGACTGACAACAGGAAGGGAGGAAAATGGAAAGAAAAGGGAGTACATTTTTTGTATTGTGTTTGGTATTGTCTCCTCAAATAAGTTCGTATTTTGAGAAATTAGAAACCAGGATTTTTGAATCCATTCACTACTCTTTACCTTTCTACCAAACAACTATTGATCTTAATAGAGGTGGATTTTTAGGGTTTTTCAACGGCAAGCACAGAAATTAGGACGTTTAAAATTCCGGAAATGAACGGTTCGTATTTGAAACCGGTTTTGACGTGCTTTTATTATTTTTTGTTTGAAAAAGTTTCGATATACTGAATATGGTAGGTTCCATTAAATGTAATTTCCAGATTTCAATTTAAGATTTTATTCTCAAAATTTTCCTTGCTTGTGTTTCATTATTTCTGGCATTTTTTCTTTATATAAGGAAAAAATTATTTTTCTATACAGGACGGTAGATAGTTTTGTAAATAAATAGATAGTAGACATTTTTAGGTTTGTAGAGGGTAAAATCTACAACTGATTAAATCAAAGGCCAATGATTGACTTAAGAGTTGTCGATTGATGAAATTGATCCGTTGCGAGAATGAAAACGTTAGTAAACGTGAAAGTAAATGAAAGCAATAAAAAGACACAAGGAATTATAGTGGTTCCCCTGATAATGCAGGGTACGTCCATTGTAGGGCTCCGGTGGTTTCATTATGACTGCTGAAAAGCATTCCAATAAGTCGTTCTAAGAAGAACGGGATGAGAGAGAGAAATAAATGTTGAAAATACAGTAAGAAATGAAAAAGTTTTTTAGAAATGAGCGTGAGAGCTTTTGTGTGATGTGGAATGTGTCCAAATACCTTGTATTTATAGCTAATGAGGCTCTACAAGTTGTTTCCAAATTATCTGCGTGATATGGCCTTTAAGCTGTGATAATTCCTTTTCTTTTTGGGCGTTGCATGACTTCCTTAACTGGTTCTGTCCATAATTGACTAGTCAATAATGGTTTCTTGTCCATTTTGAGTTGATCCGACCTCTTTGTTGCGTGATTGCTGGAGATATAGTCTCTTTATGTGGAAGACAATCAATTTCGTCTAGTGAGAGGGTTGCTTGCGGCCTAAGTCAACTGTTGACCTTTTTTCTCATTAATTATTCTAACTTGAGCAGTTGATATCTTTTCTTTTCTGGCTGATTTTGTTGCTAAATTCCATATAAGGAATGTCTTGAGGATATTCTCTCGTGACTTGATGCCTAAGGCTCTCCGTCGACTCGTGAGATCGACTGGTGGAGTTGATTAGTCGAACAGTCGATTCTACCTGCTTGAGGACTCGCGGTGACTTATTTAGTGACCTTCCAGAGCCTGAGTTGTCTTAGGAAGACATCACATGTGAAATTGGCCTAACACAATTCAGGAGCCTAACTTGACCTAATAGGTTAACCTATTGGGTCTAAGTTCCTTCCATGTATATAAACCACTTCACATCCTCATCCAATTTCTATGTGTGACAACAGACAATGTACTTTCATCAACAATCTCCTCCTCATGTGTGTGTTCACTGAGCTCCCCCTTGGACCAAAGTTTCTAGTAGCCGGTATATCCAAGCATCACACTCCAAACGGGAGCCAACTCAAGCATGGGAAAGAGAACCGAAACCATGCGAGTCCACTAAATGCTCCACCATTTGCATTTGCATCAGCACCAATTGCGGGAACACCAACTCTCCGTAGAGGCAACGTGAGAACTGCAACTGAGTGTGATCGCTTGACCCATGCGAACTATCGGCTATGATACTACTTCTTGGGGAGACATCACATGTGAAATTGGCCTAACATACTTCAGGAGTCAAACTTGATCTAAAAGGTTAACCTATTAGGTCTAAGGTCATTCCATGTATATAAATCACTTTAGTACATCCTCATACACTTTCAATGTGCGACAACATACAAATGTACTTTCCTCAACAAGTTGCAACGTGTACAGTGAGAGATGAGGTACGAAATCTAGCCTCAACAAGGTTCATGGACCTCTAAGTGGACATTTATGTATAACCCACTATATAATATTCTATGATATCACACAATAGCTGTTGATCTTCATTGCCCTTCACTAGCATCCATCTTGATTTCACATTTGAAGTTGGTTAGAACATGACAACCTTTTTACTTGATTTTATTTTATTTTATTTTGGTGAAAGCAAGAAACAAATTTGAATTGGCATCACGGGAATTTAATTACACAAGACATTAGATTGTTTGTTGTTAAAAGTTTTGATGTTTGGTTCTACCTTGAAGTAAAATGGCTAAAAACGCATGAACTTTCTACCTAATTCAACTATGTTATTTACAACTTAGTTTATCTGAAAAATCCACCTCTGGCATTAGATATTGAATCATCTTTATGACTTTTGTAGATATATGCTCACTTCATGGTCCGTTTCCATTATTATACTCTTTTATTTTATCATTGACGCCTCCCCAACTTATAGAGAAAACAGTGTGTGTATTTTTGTTGCAAAATGCAGAGTTATCAAATTGATATAACTAATTATCATAGGAGAAACAATAAAGAAAAATCATGTTAGTATTGCGGGCTGAAAGTAGTTTTGAAGTTAGTTTTATCCTTCTCGCTCGCACGCCATCACTTTTGAACTTTTGGTGTTACATTTCAATGATTCTAATATAATAATGCTTAATTATTCCACCATAGATTTCCTAAATAAAATATTATTTGATTCCGATGTGGAAGTTAGGTGGGAATTTGGCTAAAATAACCGAGTGAAAAAGTCAAATTAGGAAAATGACTTTTTAATTTTAATTTTATTTATTTTATTACCATAGCTGAGCCCCCTCCTTCTCTCGCCGACATGAGCAAGAAGAGCTCTCCATTGCGGAAAATGATCGGGGGCGGTGCGATTGCGATGGCTGGGTTCGCGAGGTGGGCGTCGCGAGTGGCTGGAGTTCTCAAAGTGGGTGGCGCGATTGGCTGGGGTTCTCGAAGTGGGCGGCGCGATGGGTCTTGGCTGGGTTTGCTTAGGT